AGAGGGTAAGAGAAAGCAAACAAGAGAGGAAAGACCAAATCTGCTTTAATGACAGATATATTCTTGAGTTAATGAATCCTGTCACAGAGTAACATTAGTTATTCCTCAATACTGTGGCTGTCATAGGGTTTATCTTCTAATATTTCTGCATTGCAGATAAAGTTCTCAACTCACAAACTTTGTTGGACATTCCATCCGTAACTATCTACTCCTCAACAGCCATATGCTTCCTCCACTAGTTTTTATGCAATTGAGATCTTTTTCTAGTATGTACTGACATTCAAGAATTTATTCATTCCAACTATTAGTCCCATTTAAATAACTATTATTTCATTCAGATAATGCTATGAAGTTTTTTTTACCAAAAAGCATAAATGAATATAGGTACCATAATAATACTTTTTGAAATTATAAATTTAAGCCTGATTTTCATCTTTGGAAATTTATGACTCATCGTTTAAAAAATAGTAGTCATTTTTGTTGTGATTGCTAAGCTACCCTGCATGTCTGCTGTTTTTACCTTTTTATGTTTATTTGTTTTCTTTTTCTTACTTTTCTGTGAGTTTGCCCTTTCTGTGGGTAATATGCACTTTAAAAAAGTCTATTCTGAGTTATCTATAGAAGTTTTAGAATATATCTTTGTACAGCTCCAGTAGAGGCCATTCTAAGTATTTTATTAAGAGGACATAATTACTGCATTGGCTGATTTAAGTGGTGTTGAAATCTTACTTCCTTTTCATGGTTTGCTCTCTCCTACTTTAATATAATTGCCTTTAAATTTTCTTCCACATATCGTGAAAACCATATCAGACAGAGTCAGAGATTTTCAAGATTCAAATGTAAATTAGCCAAGAGCAGAATGGAAATGTATTCATCTGCATTGTTGTGGTTCCATGTTTGCTCTCAATGTTTGATGCTTCAAGCAAGCTTCCTTACTTCAATACAAACAAGAGAAAGACTTCAGCAGAGAGGTCAAAAAACAGGGCACTATTTAATTGTGTGAGGAAAAAATACTGCCTTGAAATATAATGGTATTTGTAGATCAAAAGCAAAAGGACAGAAAGGTACAGCATAGAAATATTAAGCAAGACGTTGAAAGCATAGCTATATTATCATATAAAGTAGACTTCACTACGCAGACAGTGACGCAGAACCGAGAGAGTCAAAGCTGAAAGACAAAATAGCAATCTTACATGAATGGCACAAAACTAGAGAGCTACAATAAGTGTAAAACAAAAAGAAACAATACAGAAATGAAAAAGATGGTATATTATCTTGTAGTTGGAGAATTCAGCATTACTCTCAGAATTTGATACACGATCTAGACAGAACATCAGCAAGGATCTAGAACTCACACAGCGTGCTCTACTTGTCATTTGTAAAATAGTCTAACACGAAAAAGCACATTTTATAAACCGGCCACAGATAATTATTGAAGTAGATTTTACCTTGGGTCATAAAAATTATATCATTCTGTCTCAACCTGACATGATTAAAATTGCAAAGTAGTGTCCTAGAACACAATGAAATCAAGTACATATAAATAACAGAACGAAAGCAGGGAGCTCTCCTTAAAATGTAAAAAAAAAAAAGGATTATTTTCTAAATAGCATGTGGATAGATAAGGAAGACTCATGGGAAATTTAAAAAAACTTGACCATAATGAAAATGAACATCACAAGTTATTGGATTTATAATACAGAATAGATAAGGTAGTATCTAGTGCTCAATGCTTACATTAGAATGACAAAAAAGGTCTATATCAATATCTAAGTTTCCACCTCAAGAAACAGAAATGAAGGACATTGAAAGAGGAAATGTACCGTATGAAGTTATTTCTTTTTTTCCTTTGATTTATCCCCTATTGTCACTGTTTTTGATTTTGGTACCTTGTGTCTTGTATATACATTTATTTCATTTGGGGAAGAGAAGGGGAATAACAAAATGGTGAGACAAAGGACAAAGGGCCAACCAATGCAACAGCCATACTCACAAGACACTGTGTTGGAAATGAACTTTACAATTTAGCGGAAGAGGGGAGTTGCAGGGAGATGGAAAGTGGGAAAAAAAAACAAAAGAGGGGGTAACAATGGTCAACAAGAAATGTACTCATTGCCTTATTTATGTAACTGTAACTCCTCTGTACAATACCTTACAATAAAATTAAAATTAAAGATACTGTACGGAGGGGTTACAGTTACATGAATAAGGTAATGAGTATATTTTCTATCAGGCATTATTACCCCTTCAAGAAGGAGAAATATTAAGCAAAGAGAAGTCAAGAAAATTGAAAACAGGAAAAGAATAGAAAAACGTCAGTGAAACAAGAAAACTTAGTCTTGAGAAGATACAAGTCAGTAAGGTCTAGAAGGCCTCTAGTGTAAAAAGAGACAAGGTGCAAATCATTAAGAAGAAGCATGTGTCACTGCGTGCCCTGCACATGCAAAAAGACAAATAAGGACTCGGATGAATAGCGATGGACAGATTTTTTAAAACAATTTAGAAGAGCAGTATGTATTTCTGGGAAATTAAAAACTACTACACTATCCCACTATAGAATGACTGATTTTGACAGTCATATATCCATGAAGAATTTAAATTTAAATCCCTCCATTAAAAATCACCTGATAAATAACCCAAATGTAGAGAAGGATTAAACAGGAAATGTGGTAGATGAACAAAATTCTTCTCACATTCTCCTGTGAATCTAGTCCTACTCTGAAAGCAAACTCAGATAAAGATCGTGTGAAAAAGAAACCTACTCTTCAGTATTTCAAATATATTAGCATAAATATTTCAAATATATTAGCAAATATATGCCAAACACACACACACACACACACACACACACACACACACACACACACACACACACACACACATAGTTCCACTACCGAAATCCTGGTTTGGGTTTTACAGTGTAATTATGTAAGATGTAGCCATGCACAGAAAGCTGGGGGAAGGCTTTATAGGAACCCTTTGTGCTCTTTTTGTAATTTCTTATAAATCGAGATGCATTTTTAAAATAAAAAGTAATGTGTTGCTTTGTATGTCCCTCCCCCATGGTATAACCCCTGTTTTCACTGTACTTGATGTTGGTATAATTTGGGGAGCAGAAGGGAAAAAACAAATTGTTTAAATAGGGATACAGGTAGACCCATTGCAACAATGAGATGTAGGAGACCCTATGTTGAAAAACAAACTTTACAATTTAGGTGTGGGAGGGGGTGTGGGTGAGATGTGGCGGTGGGGGGAATGTAGTTGTGGAGATGGGAGGGAAGGGATGGTAGGGGGAAAACAAAGGAGGAGGCAATAATGCTTGATAACAAATGTACTCATTACCTTGTTTATGTGATTGTAACCCCTCGGTACAGTATTTTCACAATAAAAAACTTATTTAAAAAATAAAAAGTAATAAAGAAAGAAAAAGAGAGAGAGAGAGAAGAGCTTGTTCTAAAACATTGTGAGGGTGAAATGAGGAGAATCATGAACACTTTTCCGCACAGGGACAGCAGCAAACAATGATTCCCTAAATAGCTATAACAACAGATGTGTGCATTATATTCATGCCTATCATATCGATTGGTTGATCTATTTCTTGGTTGATTCTTTTGCTTTTTGGTCCATTCACATTCTCCCTAGGTAACACTTAGCCAGATGGAAGTTCCCACTCCATTTCCTTACATCATCAGGGTTGAAGTGTTTCTTCTCGGTCTTGGATTTAACACTGCAGCTCTGCCTCTGATCCGTTTGCTTCGGCTGCTACCTCCTGCACAGGCTGCAGTGATGCAGAGCTGTGATGGGGTGCTGAGGAGATGGATTTGCTTTGTTTTAATTACAGCAGCATTGGCACCAGGTTCTCCTTCCGCAGCTGGTGCAGGCTGATAGGCTCCGAGGTTGCTCTGTGGTTTCCTCTCCATATGGGAGTTTATAGTTGGGAGCCTAAGGGATCCAAACTCAGTCCCTGGGGAATCTGAAGTAACAGTGTCTGAGATGGAACTGGAAAAAACAACATTCCCCGGTGATCTTTGATTAAAGTGGATTTCAGCTTTCTAGAGAAGACAATCACATGGATTCTGATATAGGAATCAGTAGGGATCTACCACGATGCTGTCAGCTGTGAAAATGGCCATAGATACTTTCCTCTCACTGCTTTCTCACCATAACCACATGGAGTACAATGGATTAGCTAAAGGTAGTCGTCCTCTTGACTCAAATTTGTCCTTGTCTTCCATTTGAATTCCTATTAAGCTCCTGTAATTATTCATGATCAGTTTTAACAAAAATTACAGGTATGCCTTATGGTAATGAATGAGCACTGGAAAGTCCATTTTTAAAGATCAATTTCTTTCTAGATTATTGGATACAGAAATTAAAAAAAATGGTTGCAGGAGTTCCTTTTCTATAAGCCAGAAAGAGAAGGAGTGGGCATAACAATCTAGGAATGACATAAATGTTTTCAAGGGCCAGTAAATATAACAAATATAGGTATATGGGGTAGAAAATATTTCCTGAATCATGAAGTGATTTTTAAATGAATACATTTATTTTGTTCTCAGATTTGTGCCATGATTTTTACACACAGTCGAGTCAACTATAAGTGTTATGAAACTACAAACCCAGAGTTTTAATATTGACTATATAGATGTAAGATATTATGTATATAGGTAAGGTGTTTTTCTATCCATATACAATATATCTGAAAATAATATTGAAGTAATGCTCCATAAATGTTTGCATAGCATTTTCAGTAATGTCTATAAACAGTAGTCCATGAGGAATATACAATGTTTCGCAAATGATATGTATGAAAACTGCAAAGTGTCAGTAGCTGTTTCTGCTTTCCATTTTCCATTTTAAGGTATCTTATATTGCTAAGGATATCCCTGATTTAAGAACGGAGTATTTTTTTCTGAATTTATTCCAGTTTTAAATTGTGATAACATAGCTCTACCATAGCCTATGGATGTGCTTATTTTTCTGAGTTAAGGGTTTTGATTTCATCTGAAGAATTTATTGCCTATTGCCCTAATGGCTTCTTTCACCTCCTGATTTCTCAAGCTGTAGATGAGCGGGTTCAACATGGGAATCACAATCCCATAAAACGTAGAGGCCACTTTCATGTTCTCCTGGGAATTATCAGAGTGGGGCTGCAAGTACATGTACGAGAGTGTCCCGTAGAAAATGGTGACAGCTGTCAGGTGGGAGGCACAGGTGGAGAAGGTCTTCTTCCTTCCTGCAGTGGAAGCCATCTTCAAGATGGTGGCCATGATGTACATATAGGAGACGATCACAACAGACACAGTGAACATCAGGTTAAATCCCACAAAGATGAGAAGCAACATGACGTTGATATGAATGCTGGAGCACGAAAGGCTGATAATTGGGGGGACATCACAGAAAAAGTGGTCGATGTGGTTGGATTTACAGTATGATCGTGAAAAGGTAAAGCCTGTGTGGACAGAGGAATTTATGGAGCCCAGGATATAGGAGCCAGTCACCAATTGGATGCAGACTTTTCGGGACATGATGATGGGGTAACGAAGCGGCTCACAGATGGCCACGTACCTGTCCACTGCCATTACTGCAAGGAGGTAACAGTCAGAGGTGGCAAATGCTGCATAGACCAACAATTGCATGACACACCCTCCAAAGGATATCGATTTGTTCTCCGTGATAAAACTTTTCAGCATCTTGGGAGTAATGGCAGATGTGTAGCAGATGTCCACGAATGCCAAATGCTGTAAGAAAAAGTACATGGGTGTCTGCAGTCTGGCGTCTATGTTGATGAGTAGGATCATTCCAGCATTACCCACCATGGATGTCAGGTAGATTACAAGAAATAACATGAAGAGCACATACTGAAAGTCTTGCCGGACGCTGAATCCCAGAAGATAGAACTCAGTGATTTCAGTACCATTTCCTCTAGTCATTGCTACCAAAATCTAAGAAGACCAAGAGAAAGGTCAAGCCTAGAAGGGAAATCTAAAGTAACTTTTCAGATGGGAAGATCTCTTGTATGTCACTTTTTAAAAACTTTGATTTCTATAACAAAGACTCACAAGAAGGTTTATTGCTTTCCAAGTATTTTTTCTGTATAGTCTGAACAGGAAAAACCAGTATCTTAGTCCTGTATGAATTATGAATTCATTAAAAAACTTAGTTATTAACTATTTAGTTTGCTTATTTATTGGTGCCAGTCCTGGGGCTTGAATTCAGAGCCTGGGCACTGTCCTTGTGTTTTTGTTGTGTTCAAGTCTAGTGCTTGACCACTTGAGCCATAGTCCGAACTTCTGGCTTTTTGGTGGTTAATTAGAGATAAGAGTCTCATAGACTTTCCTTTGTAAGCTGGCTTTGAACCATAATCCTCAGATTTCAGCTTTCTGAATAGCTAGAATTACAGGTGTGAGCCACTGGCACTTGGCTGAATTCATTTTAAAATCAATGATTGTTCATGTAGTTCAGTATGGCACTACTGACTTTCAGTGTGTCACCTAAGAAACACAGATTAGCATAGCTTACTTTTCTAGTAAACTGTTTTCTAAATCTGCACAAGGCGATATATTAAGATTTGATTTTTGAAGATTCTCAGCAGCCTTTCTCAACAGTTTTCCATAACCACCTATCATTTTATTTTATTTTTAAAATATATTTTTATTTTCTTTTTTTAAATTTAATTTTATTTTATTTGTGAACATACTGTACAGAGGGGTTACAATTGCATGGGCAGGATAATGCGTACATTTCTTAGCAAGCATTGCAACCTCCTCCTTTGTTTACCCTTCACATCCCTTCCCAGCCTCCCCCCTCCCCCCCAATCCCAATCCTTCTCCTTCCCCCCTCCCC